CTGTGCAGGCCCTCCGCCATGTCGCTTTCTACCAGAGCAGACAAGTACATCATGAGCTTTTCCTCCGGCACCTTGCACCGCTGGGCTTGTCTTTCGAAGTTGCTTAGGAACACCGCAGGATCGTCTCCCTCTCGGTAGCGAGCGAAGGCCGAGATGTCCAGTTTGGGGCGTTCCCCAGATGCTTGCGGAGGGTTCGCGTTTCCCCCGTTGTTCTGCAGACGGAGCTGAGCCTCCAGCTTTTTCTCCTCCAGCTCCAGCCTTTTCACTTCTAGCTGTCGTTGTTCCCTCTCGCGCTGGGCCTCCAGCTCCAGCTTTTTTGCCTCCAGCTCCAGCCTTTTTAACTCCATCCTCTTCAGCTCTAGCTCACGGAGTCTCTGCCGCTCCCCCTTGGAGGGTGATCTCTCGGCGGCCTCTGGGCTTGAGGTGTTGAATCCCTCAGGGCAGGCATCTCCCTCCCTGGTGTGCATGACAAAAGCCTGGTGCCTTGGGGGAAGATGCTCTGGTCACCTGGGCAGGGGGGAAAAGCCCGGCCCTGCGCACGGGCCCAGGTAGCCAGGGATGCTTGGTAGATTGGTTGGCTTGTGGCCAGTATTGGCAGCTTCAATTGGACCGGGCTGCTGAGGTCAGAGAGGGGATAAAAAGGCCCGGGCCAGGAAGAAGGGCAGCCATTAGCCATGCGGTCATCCAGGTGAATCTGAAACCGGCTCTCTCCTCATCACCGCATGCTGCAAGAGTGCCCTGCCTCCAGAGGAAACAGCAACCACCTCTGGACGATGCGAGTGAGTAACATACTCGAGATCCGATCAGATATTTAGATTCCTGTAAGATTTCTTGATATTGCTCTACCTTTTACCCTGTTTCTGCCCTACCCCTGTAATCAATAAAGTTCTCCTTTGTAACCGGTGTGGGAGACTTATTGAGGGGTGGGACTAAATTATGCCAAGGAGGCCCCTTAGGTCGGTGGACTAAGGGAGACTTTTTCTAATCAGCCCCTGACTTGGGGAAGTGCCCAAGTGCCTTGTACTGGGTCTAGCACCCATTGGACGATCAGGCCTGTGTTTTCCAAGGTGCGCAGAGCCAGAAGTGAGT